AAAAAAAAGAAAAGAAAGAAAGAAAGCGAGAAATAAAAAGGGATGGAGATGTATCTCAGTGGTAAAGTATTTGCTCAGCATGTGCAAGGCCCTGGGTTTGATCCCCAATATGAAAGAAAGAAGGAAGACAAACAGACATATTGGTGACACTGAAAACACAAATGTTATAAGTCAGTATGCTTGGAAGAATATACTTATACATAAAATGCCTAGAAAAAGGATTATAAGGATTCTACCAAGATGTTAACAGTAGATACTCCTGTGGGCAATATAATAGGATAATTTTTCTCTTCTATTTTCTCCAATAAGTATGTATTACTTTTGAGATAAGAAAAAAGTTATAAGCATAAAAATGAAACAAGCTATGTATTTCCCACATAGGTTTGAAGTAGTTTCAATTACTATCATAGACAAAGTTGCTTAGCCTGAAGAAACTAGCCTTCTTAAACAATGTTTACAACAGGAAAGTGAGATTAACAAATTAAATAGAGCATTTGTACCACTCCTCGAAAGTCAACAAACTCATTTATTTAGAGAACCAAAAGAGGACAGAATTCCTGAAACAAGATTCCAGAAACAGGAATCGTGGTCAGTATTCTGCTTTGAGTCATATAGAACCAAATAAACAAAAACAACAAAAACTCAAAGGAAAAACCTGAATCATCAAAGCAGGATAAGAAAGTCTGGTGTATAACAAAAAAACAATGAGCTTCATGGTATTGGGTTTAGGATTCAGAAGTCAGTGCATTTAGATTTATAATTGCTTTTTTTTTCTGTCCCCTGTTCTTTAATTGCAAGATGGGGGAAATAACAATACCTACTTCATGAGGCTGTTGTAAAAATTTAAAAAAAATTAATGTAAACCGACTGCCATAATGCCTGGCCATAGTAAGGGCCATCGAAGTGTTAGCTACTAAGCATTACATACATGTTCCCTATTACTGTTATATATCTAACTGGAGCGTCAAAAGGAAGGGAGAGAGAACAGAATAGGAGTAATATTCAAAGAGATAACTAAGACTTTCAAAAACTGAAGAAAGATAACAACCTTGAGGTTCAGGTTACCCAATAAATTCTAAACAGTATAAACAAAAAGAAATCCACATTACTCATTTCAGAAATCCACATTACTCATTTCAGTATGCATATTTTGCACACAAAAAGGCAAGGACATATTAGAAAGCAACTAAAGAAAACAGAGAAATCACCTTTATAGCTAGGCACAATGGTACACAAATGTAATCCCAGTGATTCTGGAAGCTGAGGCAGGAGGATGACAAGTTCCAGTCTAGCCTCAACCATTCAGCGAGACCCTGACTCAAATAAACTAAAAAGGGGCTGGGGATGTGGTTCAATGGTTAAGCACCACTGAGTTCAATACCTAGTACCCAAAATAGAAAAGAAATCATCTTAAAAGACATGAATAAGTTAATTTCTTTCTTTTTTTTTCTTGGTACTGGGGATTGAACTCAGGGGTACTCAACCATTGAGCCATATCCCCCTTGCTGTTGCTGAGGCTGGCTTTGAACTCACGATCCTTCTGCCTCAGCCTCCTGAACCTCTGGGATTACAGGCCTGCGCCACCGCACTGGTATTAATTTCTTAGTAGCGACCAGAAAACAAGACAGTTGCATATCTTCAAAGTGCTGAGAAAAAAATAACTCTTGATCCATAATGATACTCCCAGCACAAATATCTTTTTAAAACAGTAGCAAAATAAAGCCATTTGTAGATAAAACTGAGACATTTTTTTTCGCCAAGATGCCCACCCTAAATTAAACCCTTAAGGATTTATTTTAGGTAGAAGAAAGTGGAAACTTATAGATGAAAAAATAAATAAAATCTAAAATTGCTTTGAAAAAATATAATATTGACTTTACAAAATATAATGCCATTTTTAGTGGGATAAGAAAGAACCATGACCCAGAACTAAAATACATGACAAAAAAATGTAAGTCATCTAGGGACTTGCCAAAGTTAATGTTCAAGGGTTCTTGTATTGTCTGGGACTGGGTAAAAACACTATTAACTTTAGATTGTGATAAGTTAAATACGCATGTTAAAAGTTCACTGTATGTAGCTGGTAAGAAAACAGAAACAGAGGGTATAATTTCTAAACTAGCAAGAGGAAAAAATAAAATGGCAGACAATAACCAATGAAAAGAAAGAATAAAATAAAACAAAATTAAATTTAAAAGGCAAAACAAATAGAATGGACAACATCATATGAAAAAGTAAATGTACCAGTGACTACAAAGAGTGTCAACCTAGGGCTGGAGTTGTGGCTCACTGGTGGAGCCCTCGCCTAGCACACATGAGGCACTGGGTTCGATCCTCAGCACCACGTAAAAATAAAATAAAGGTATAAAATAAAAAAGAAAAAAAAGAAACTGACTTTAAAAAAGAGTGTCAACTCATAGTCAATTTAAGAGGTTAGTTTCTTTTTTAAGACTAATATTGTTACACTAGAAAAAAATAAGACACCCTGTTTACAAAAAGACATGTAGGCCAGGCATAGTGGCACACATAACTGTGACTTGGGAGGCTCAGGCACAAAGATCAAAAGTTCAAGGCCAGCCTCAACAACTTAGCAAGACCCTAAGAAATTTGTTGAGATCCTGTTTTAAAATTAAAAATGAAAAGAGGTCTAGGGTTGTAGCTCATGGTAGCACACCTGCCCAGCATGTGTGAGGCACTGGGTTCAATCCTCAGCACCACATAACAATAAATAAATAAAGGTATATAAAAAAAGAACACTAATTTAAAAAAAATGAAAAGGGTTGGGGCTGTAGCTCAGGGGTAAAAACCTTTGGGATCAACCCACACTGCCATAAAAAAAAAGACATCTAGATTGCAAGAATACAGAAAAATTAAAATGAAAAGATGGGAAGATGGGGAAGATGACCTCCTTTTCCAGATTTCCTATTTTAAATTGCAACTCATCCTATTTCCTTTTCTGGCCAATTCTTCTTGGATTGCTTCTCAGCATACTTTACCTGGGTTATCTCATCCATACTCATTAAAGTAATTAAAACCATACACTGTTGACTACCATGCTCTATCTCCACTTCAGAATTCTACCCACAGCACTGGATCCTTATGAGCTAAAGAATAAGTCATCATAAAATACTTATGATGCTCATAACTCTCCTCTGTCACCAGTCCAGCTCCTCTTCTTCTTTTTCCACTCTTACTAACACTTATAAGCACTTAACCAAAAAGCATGAATTTATCCTAAGTTCCTTCCTATTCTGTTTTTCATTTGCAATCTCTTGTAATTGATGACAAAATCCTGTAGATGATGATGATAATATGATAATTAATATTTTTGTATTGAGGATTGAACCCAGAGGTACTTTACCACTGAGCTACTTCCCTAGCCCTTGTAATTTTTCATTATGATACAAGATCTCACTAAGTTGCTGAGGCTCTTCTCAAACTTGAGATCCTGCTGCCTCAGTCTCCTGAGTAGCTGGGATCACAGGCACGTACCACCAAGCCCAATCCTTTAGATTCTTAAACTTAAAGTCTCTTATATAAAATTTCTCTTTCCTTCCCAGAGCTGAAACCCCAAATCCAAGAATTACTTAGTATGGCTAAAAGGCTTCATACAAGTCTCTGCTCTCCAAGTCAAAATACTCCCAGTGTGGATATTTTAAGAATTCTAAAAGGTATATCTGACTATATCACTCTCATGCTCTAAATCTTGTAATGGGTCCATCATTTCCAGAAAAAAAAATCTAGCACACAAGTTATTTCATTATCTCCTTTATACCTGTCTATCAAATCTCATCTGCAGTCATTCTTTCCCATGAAACCTAAATTCCGAAGGATAGAATGACTTCCATTTGCCCGAGTTCAGTAAATTGTTTCTGGAATGCTGTGATCCAGGCTGCCAACCTCCCACACGTCTTCACTAGCAATTTTTTGTTCATATTTTAAGTTGTTACCTCTTGTGAGAACACATTCGCGAAATATCATCTAGCCCTTTAATGGGCTTGGCGCGGTGGCGCATGCCTGCAATCCCAGCAACCTGGGAGGCTGAGGCAGGAGGATGGTGAATTTAAAGCCAGCCTCAGCAATTTAAAGAGGTCCTAAGCAACTTAATAAGACCATGCCTCAAAGTTAAAAAAAAAAAAAGCTGGGAATATGGCTCAGTGTTTAAACCCGCTGGATTCAATCCCCAGTACCTAACAAAAACATGATAATGGACGTAACTGTCCATTACTCTATTTTTGACCATTGTGTATTTCTCTAAGCCTGTTTTATAATAGATCCCAATAGATCTTCCAATTGGAAGCCACGTTTATGCAGTTTGGATTTAAACATAATTTTATTTATTTCAACATTTTAAAAATGTAGGTGTGTTTGAAAACTTTGGTAAGTTTAATGAAAAGAGCACTCTCAAGACGCCAAGAAGTTAGGTATCTTCCTAACTCTATCACTACCTTTCCTTTCCTAGTCTCAGTTGCCTTCCTCAATAAAGTAATGTAGCTAGACTACAGCCACAGCCTCTGGGAGGCAATTTACAGTTTAATCCCTGTGTGTGTGTGTGTACTGGGGACTGAACCCAGAGGTTCAAACACGATAGGCCAGCGCTCAACCACCGCGCCTGGATCCTTATCTTTTTAATTATTATTGTTATCTGCTTTGCTTATATCACAGGTGAAGAAACTGAGGCTCTAATATATAAAATTACTTAATACCCGATACAATGAATTCACGACTAAAGGCAACTACTGAATCCAGATCGAAAACGAGGGGCTGAACTCTAGAAACCTGCCTATTCTAAAATGCTTTAACCACATACTCAAAGAAATCTGGAAAAGATTTGACCTAAATGTTACAAAAACAGCCCACAGTGGACTTCCGGGCCCTGAGTAAGCTTCCGGAATCAACAACAGGAAGACCCAATCAGAAGCTTTCTCCGGAAGCCAATAGGAGAGCACTTTACAAAGAGCCAATCCACGCGGCGCTGTCACTGTTATGGTCCTGTCAGGGCGCCGGCGTCGTGGTGCTTGGGCGGTCGCCACTGAGAGGACTTTGGTGGGGCAGTCTCGGGACAGCCCGGCGGCCCTCTGCGCTCGCCTTGGATCTGTGTCCCAGCCTCCGCTCCTCATTTCGCAGGCCGCACCGTAACGCGAGCGTGCGCGTCCGCGTCGCGGCGGCCTTGGGACCTGGGTCCAGCTGCAGCCTCCTCCACCGCAGCGGGCTCGGAGGGGCGGCGAGATGCAGCCGCCGGGCCCGCCCCCGGCGTATGCCCCCAGTAACGGGGACTTCACTTTTGTCTCCTCAGCTGACGCGGAAGGTGAGGCTGCGTCCCGTTAGGGCGAGTCCCCGGGAGGCCGCCGGGGCCGGCGCGGTGGGGTCTCTCTCTGCGCAGGCGGTTGTGGCCGGGTGGGGACGGACAGGAAGCGAACTGCTGGTGAACCCAGCCCTCCTGAGGTCCAGGCCTTCGGAGAGGCCCCGAGTGGCCGAATCTGGATTCAGAGACCCGTCTCAAAAAAGTCAAGTCGCTCGGTCACCCTACCTTTACCCACACTGTTTGGTGGCAGGGTTTGGGGGCGGCTTATTCACCTCGAGCAGACCCACGGAGCCCAAGGGTTTTATTTGTGAAATTACTCTGTTACCCAGAAAAGGGACGGTTAGATCGGTCGAGGGAAATACCAAAAGAATGAGAAGAAAGTTGATCTGTGTTCTGTTATTCATCAACAGGGAACCTTTCTGCTGGGATTCGATTTGGCACTGTCAATCCAAATTTCCCTTAAGGAGTTAAGGAGTTCGTGGTTTTTTATTGAATTTGATATAGTGCTCGGGGTCCCAGTTTTCCTCCCATTTTATAGTGTTGGACCTTGGTATTCAGATAAGTGTACCCATGTACACTTGAAACTTCGTATAATCCAACTAGATTTCCCCAATAGCCTTTGCAGATTTTCTTGTAGTGTTGGAGAAAGCACTTTTTACAGTACAGAAAAATGTTTTTCTTTTTTCCTCAGTTTCGAACTCATTTCCTTGTAACGTGAATCTTCCTCTGCTAGCCATTTTCAAATTTTACTTTTATAAGTCGTTGTGTATTTTTTATTGACCAGACTTACTACCTGATAATTAGTTTAGCTACAGAAATTTCAATCTAGAGAAGATCCTAAGTTTTCTTTAGAAATCTGATTTCTCAGTGAATATAGCTTGTTTTCTTTTTTGTTTGTTTCCCCTGTTTTGCATTGCCTTAAAAAATAGTAATAGTTATGATTTTAAAAATAAAATTTTTGTTTGTTTGTTGGAACCCAGGGGCACTTAACCACCGAACCACATCCCCAGCACCCTCCTTTTTTCATATTTTATTTAGAGACAGGATCTTAAGTTGCTTAGGACCTCACCAAGTTGCTGAGGTTGTCTTTGAACTTTCCATCCTTCTGCCTCAGCCTTCCAAGCTGCTGGGATGACAGGCGTGTGTCACCATGCCCAACTAAAAGTAAAATAAATTTTTATCTATCATAGGGAGCACAGCTGATACATTCCTTTTAAATTAAAATGGAACAATCCATATTATTTAAATCTGTTTCATCTACATTTTGATAGCATAGTTGCTTATGGAGGAATATCTATTTTAATTTCCCAGATTTAAAAATATATATATTGATTATTAGAACCTGGTGTTTGTTCAGACTCATCTATCTGTGTGTGTGTGTGTAGATTTTTTTTTTCATGTCCCTCTTTAGCCAAGGAACCGTCTTTCTTAAATACATCCAAGAAATCTGACAGATAACATATCTAGGCTACTCATTGAATTCATAATTTAAGAGACCTGGACATTGTACAGTTTAAATTTACAGAATACTTTAAGCATCCTACTCTTGATTTATGTAAGAATCCTGATGAGCTTTTGATTCCTGTATTTTGTAAAGAAACTGAAACCCAGGTTTAGTAACTTCTACATGATGGCTGTGGAATTAAAAGCTAGTCTTCTGTCTCATATTTCTTTCCAATAAACCATAAGCCTCTTATATGTTTATAGATTGAATAGTAGTGTGTCTGAAGTCTAGAAGAGTCCTAAATTTGCATCCTGGCTTTACCATATCTATGCAGTTTTGACCAAGTTACTTAACCTATTTCCTCATAAGCAAATTGGGAATAATAGTAGCCAAGAGCTCAAAAATTGTACAGATATAGAGCAGTTAGTACTATATCTGGCAAAGTTACATACTCAACATATGTCAGTAATGATGCTTCTACTTAGTGTTAAGTATCCTACGACTTATTTTTTTTATTGTTTTCAAATGTAAACATTTTACTCTCCCAATTCCAAGGGTTTTCTCTGGTTCCTACATACGTCATGTAAATTCTACTTTTCCCTTTTTTATGCTATTTCTGTAATCATAAATGTTTTCAACTTATAGATGATTTCAGTGTATACCTTTCCTTCCAGATTGTGTCCAAGTCTTTCCTTTTTTTTTTTGAGATGGAGTCTCACTATGTTTGCCCAGACTTGAAATCTGGGATCCAGTGATCTGACCACCTTAGTTTCTTGAGTACCATACCTAGCTAAAAGTGTCTTATTCTTAATGATACCCGTCCTTACTATTTGTCCACATTTAGCCTTTATTCTAAAACTTGCGTTGGTATTTTCTTTCCATATGTATATATATCCTGGTCTTCATACTTTAAATGCCTTTATCCTTTTTGTCCCAAAATTTAAGACTAAACTCTAATGTTCCTTCCTTGGTAAAAATCTTACTTAACGGGGCTGGGGATATGGCTCAAGCGGTAGCGCGCTTGCCTGGCATGCATGCGGCCTGGGTTCGATCCTCAGCACTACATACAAACAAAGATGTTGTGTCCGCCGAAAACTAAAAAAAATAAATATTAAAAAATTCTCTCTCTCTCTTTTAAAAAAAAATCTTACTTAACAATCCTTAGAAGTATGAATTTTCCTAATATTTTCTATATACTAGCACCTGCCATAGAACCAAAAATATGTCACAAAAGTATTGTTTAATTAATAAATTATTTTTGCTTTTCTTTATATGTCATTAAAAGGAATATAAAATTTAGGTTATATGGGGATGGGATTGAGGCTCAGTGGTAGAGCTCTTGCCTAGCATGTGTGAGGCACTGGGTTCAATTCTTAGCACCACATGTAAATAAGCAAATAAAATAAAGGTCCATCAACAATTAATAAAAATATTTTTAAAAACTTAGGTGATATAACTAAAATTGTAGTAGGTTTATAACTAGAGACTTCAGCAAAAATTCCAACTCTTAGGTTAGCTATATATGATAATGGAAAAGTTAGTGTTGAGTATCTATAAGCTTCCATTTTGTCCCCTATAAAATGAAAAGCACACTTATAAGCAAGCTTTTGGGTGTGTGTATGTGTGTGTGTGTGTGTGTTTTGAGAGAGAGAGAGATGCTAGGGATTGAACCCAGGGGTACTCTACACTGAACTACGTTCCTGCCTTTTGTTTTTTCTAGATAGTGTTTTCCTAAGTCGTTAAGGTTAGTCTCATACTTGTAATCCTTGTGTCAGCCTCTTAAGATTATAGGCATGTACCATCACACCTGACTAAAAAGTAAGATTCTTAAATACAAATTAAAAGAACATGAGTTGTTTGTGAATGAGTCAATAACTGAATGAATAAATAGGGAAATCTATACTGAATATTTAAGTCTGTGTTATAAAATACATCCAACAGCAACAATGAAAGCATGTGTAGCCTAGCATGATGGCACAAGCCTGTAATCCCAGCAACTCGGGAGGCTGAGGCAAGAGGATCGAAAGTTCAAAGCCAACTTCAGCAACTTAGTGAAGCCCTGAGGAACTTAGTGAGACCTGTCTCGAAATGAAAAATAAAAAAGGGGCTGGGGATGTGGTCAGTGGTTGAGTGCCCCTGGGTACTGGGTTTAGTGCCCAATACCAAGAAAAAAGAAATGCGTGTATATAAAAGCAAGAATGTGACAGTATCACTTGTGTGTGTGTGTGTGTGTGTGTGTGAAGTATATGTAGCAGTCCTTAAGGCAATCTTTTGCCTTCACTTTTTACCAGAGAAGTAACTCTGTCTGGATTATGTCTACAGATCAGCTTTGGTATTACCTGATACTTAGTAATGCAGAATCTCCCTGAATCATAATTTATATATATATATATATTTTTTTTAATATTTATTTTTTAGGTGTAGATGGACACAACACAATACCTTTTATTTTTATGTGATGCTGAGGATCGAACCCGGCCCCACCTGTGCTAGGCGAGTGCTCTACCACTGAGCCACAATCCCAGCTCCATAATTTATATTTTAACAAGGTTCCTTGGTGAGTCATAAACACATTGCACTTGAAAAACATTGGTTTTGGATATCATAAAAGATCAAAAGAGGAGGAAATTATTTCTAAGTAGATGATCAGGAAAAATTTAATGGAGGTGTTATTTTGACAAACTTAAGAGGACAATTAATATTTTTTACAGGGTGGAGGAAGGACCTCCATGTGCAAGGGACCATGTATAAGGAATTTCCTGCCAGAGAGAAATGGTCTAAGAAGATATATAAAAATTTCACTGTATAAAATATACACCATAAAAAGTATGATACAAGCCAAGCATGGTGGGGCATTCCTGTAATCCCAGCAGCTTGGGAAACGGAGACAGGATTTCAAGTTCAAGGCCAGCCTTCGCAACTGAGCAAGGCTGTAATCAACTTAATGAGACCCTGTCTTAAAATTTAAAACAAAAGGGCGGGGTGACTGGGGATGTGACTCAGTGGTTAAAATGTCCCTGGGTTAAATCCCTGATATCAAAAGAAAAAAAAAAAGTATGATATAAAAGAGAAAGTGTTAACTGCATGAAATGCTCAAATGGTCAAGAAGGTTTGCAGAGACAGATGAGGCATATTTTGATAGATAAATGGGAGTTCTTTGGATTAAAAAATGGTGGAAGAGCATTCACATAAGGACTGTTTAAGGGCCAGGCATGATGGCACATGCCTGTAATCCCAGCAATTTGGAAGACTAATGTAGGAGGATCTCAAATTCAAGGCCAACATGGGCAACTTAGGGAGACCCTGTCTCAAAGTTTAAAAAAAGGGGGGGTGGTTGTGGTGCTAGGGTTGTAGTTCAGTGATAGAGTACCCCTGGATTCAATCCTTAGTACTGCCCCCCCCACCCCTGGCAAAAAAAAGCGAAGAAGACACAACTGTAGTAAATGAGGGTATCCTTGGGGTTAGATGCTGTGCTTTACTCACTGCCTAACACGAGCCTAGGTATGCATACAAACTCAGTAAATATTGAAAGAATAAATGACTATGTGATACTTTTTTT